TCCCTGGGGCTTGTGGAGACAGAGCTTGTCCTTCTGACCCGGGAGACCTCGTATATTTTTATCTTTCACTGTTTTCTTGTGGCTTCTTGTATGTTTTACCCTTTTCCCATCAGATCCTGGGAAACTTGCAGTTTATCGCAGGCTTTTAGTAGTTGCGGTTAAAGATGGGAAAAAAAAGTGAGGATTGTGAGAGCAGGAGTTAGGGCTTTGATCATCCTGGGGTGCGCAAGTGTTTTGCTTGATTTTTAAATCTTGGCTTATAAAAAGTTCTACCTACATAATGGTGAGATACCATCATAGAAAATACTTGCAATTTTTAGTCATTTGCAGTTTTTAGTTTAAATCATTCCCTACTGATAATTATGTTCATTTATCTATCAGGGTTGTTGGTTATTTTTTTTTTTAAACTACTTTTCATGTCATTATGAATAGGAGTTATGTTTTCCAAAACTGGAAACAGCACTGTAACTTGGGTTCTTGCTGCTGGCACTCCCCGGTCTGGGGTGTTTTCCCATGTGTTCATCACAGGCATGAAGAAGAATCACTAAGGTCATATAAATTATGTTTTTCCATTGGTGCAAATCTTGGAATTCCTTTTTTTAATGGAGGGAAAAAAACCCAAAACCAAGAGGGAACAAAAGCCTCCTCCTAAATACAGCTTTAACCGCAGAAGCGGAGCTTGCCTGCCTGCCCCTCTGTGTCACCCCCACGCCCCACCCGTCCCTTGGGAATTTAAGCTTATGTGAGGATTCCCGTTTCGGCAAGGCGGTAGGAACAGCGGTAACACCACTCCGAAGGTGCGAGAGTGATAAAACCAGGTCTGTCTGTGTCACGCCCCTGGTGCCTGCATTATTGATGAGGTACAGTAACGCTGCTGTAAGCGAGGGCTGCAGGATAACCCACTGGAGAGCCGGGACTTCCTTGTAAATGTCAGGCGAATCTTATTGGACATGACATTTAGAAAATTATCACTTGTGGTCTTGCATATCCACTCTTAAATACTTTAATGAGAATTAAATAATTTTATTGTGTATGTAACACTTTATCCCTCACCCTCTGTAATTCCTCTGTGCTCTCTATCCAGTTTCAGTTTGAAACTGTTGCAATCTGTCAGATTTGCTGCCTGGGGAATTGCACGGTCGTGCCCCTTCACAGCTGATCTGCAAAGGAAAATTTGCAATTGCTTAAGTCAAACATGAGCCAGTAACAGCGTTTCACATCAAACATAAAACGTGACAACGGACATCAGATGCCTGTACCGAGAGGGAAAACCACTAGATGCAGAAAGGGGCAACAGCCAATTCCCTTCCTTTATTCTTGCTCTTGCATGCTGCTGATGGAAATGCTGCACTGTACAAAAGAAATGCAGTTGTGCTCTAGCGGGTGTACAGCGTTTCAGAGATAGTCGTTATCCAGTGGCGCCTTGTGTATCAAAGGGTGAGGATAAATCTAAAACCTCTGGAAGTGTGTTGTGTGTTTTGTTAATGCTCTGGGTGAAGAGCTGGCTCAGTGTCTAGCACAGGAAGAAGCAAGGAGAAGTCAGGGGCCAGTAATCGGAAGCAGTGCAATTTTGGCATCCCTTGGAGGAGGCAATCGCGCGCCGCGTGTGATGTACGTGGCTGCAGTGCATTTCTGAAATGGAAAAAGCGCAGGGTTTAGGTGTATAATGTTTAACCTTTGCTGAAGTGCGCAGCTAGTTACTCATTCCCGTAATAAGTTGCTTGGGAAGAAGACCTCAGTATTGCAGAGAACCATCACCGTGCTGCACTCCTTCGTCTTGTGGGCTTTATGCTTGCGATTATTTGATTTGAGCTATTGGTGCCCAGAGGTCCGTTTGAATCCGGACTGAGCTATGCTTGGTGCTGCATAAATGCACGCAAAACAGTCTTTTTCCAGATCTGTGTGTCTCTTGATCAGTAGTGTCTTTCTGTCTCACTAGAGATAGTTCAGTTAATTTCGTATTCCTATTATGCATGAAATAGAATATATTATTCTACCAGATCATAGAAGAAACACGTATACTTTATTGATGTTCTGGCCATCGTTTAAAAAGGGGAAACGGATTACCTGACTGTTGTTAATAGACAGTACAATAATGAATGTTTACAAGATTTTTTTTATGATCTCTTGTTACTTAAGGCAAAATATTTGAGACATTTGTTGTTTTGAGGCATTAAATATGTTTTGCAAGGTAATTAAGGAGATTAATGCTAATTATAGTTGGTGTCCATTCAAAAATGTCAAACCTATTTAAGCTTATTTTTCATAATAGTTGTTAATTAGTGAACTGCATTGAAGTTTACATAGAGAAGGAGTTAAAAGCTAATCAGAAGAAAAGTCATGCTGCTGCAGATCTGGAAGACATGAGCAACCTGCAGCTGACTAACACAAGTCCAGGAAGGAGTCAAATATGTTGCTTTTTCACTGATCTTTTATTTATTTCCTCCCACAGTATTTTAAAAAGCAGAAACGGTTAATCCCGGAAAGGACGGTGTGGAAATATTTTGTGCAGTTATGCAGTGCAGTGGAACACATGCACTCCCGCAGGGTGATGCACAGAGGTAACATTAATTCAGTCTCTTTTCACTGAATAATAATATAATGTTCCAATTAGTAAGCGCCTACATTCAAAAACAATTATGCTGATGTTCAGCCAATGCATGTTTAGAAAGGCTGGAGCTTGCAAGATGGATTTCTCCTTCTGTCTCCTTGCCTCATTGTTAAAGGATTCAGTCCGGAGTGAGTGTGGTATTAGGAAGATGAGCTGCTTTGTATTCCAGACACTGATATTAAGTAGAAGTGTCAAACTTGCCATTAGAAAAGTGTCAGAAGTAAAATGCTGAGACTACTGGATACAGTGAACTCCAAGAAATAGACTTCATTATATTAGCTGTGACCTTAGAGAGTTTAGAAGAGTTTTTCTGTCTTGCAAGTTTTTCTGAAATATTAATACAAAAATGTCACACGCTCTCATAACATGTTCTCTATTTTCATGAATTATTTTTTAGTCTCTTGTCTTAGAACTTTCTGTAACTTTGAGCCCTATCCAAAAATTGCTTTGCTTCTTTCAGCGTAAATGAAATGCTTTGTGAAGGACTTGACCCAGGAAACGCAAATATCCCAAAAGGCACCAATACCAATCTCTGCTGCTTGTTATTTCCTTTCTCCTTTGAAGTGGTGAATTCCTCACCATTTTTTTTCCAGCACCGTGGTGCCATTTTTGCTCCTTTATACGTCCCCTAGTGCAGTTCATCAGTTGTATCTGAATTAAGTCTGTAACTGGTGGCTGAGATTTGGATCCTCGCACCTTTAGCCTGCTTTAACATGAGGAAGGAGCCTCACGAACTCAATCCTGACGTGACCGCTTGGGAAACTGGGGTCCTAGTACTTTTTACGCTCCGTGAACAAACTGGGCTGTATAGAGTCCAGAATTTGGGGGGGGGGACACACACGGACGGACGGACGAACGACAGACACGGACACGACACGATGGACACGACACACACAAAAATGAGCCTTTGGTGTGAGGGGACGATGGTGGGCAGTACAGGTTTTGTAGAAGACAGTAATTTCCAAAGAGAAGCAGACTGACTTCTTTGATTTCCATCAGTTAAAGAGGTTGCCTCTGTTCTGTTGTGCCATTCCCTACTTTTTCCCTCATTGGTATTTCTTGTATGCTGGGAAGTATACTCTGATTTTTGTGTATGTGTGGAGCTTGAAGTCTTGCAAGATTCAGCCTATCAAAGCTGTAAAGAAAGACGGTTCTGCTCAGGCCCCTTTAGTACAGAGAGTGCTCCAGGCTATGTTTCTGTTGCAGTAGTAGAACCGAATAACCTTTTGTGGCTTTGACCTTTTACCTTTTTCTTCTTACAGACATAAAACCAGCCAACGTGTTTATAACAGCCACAGGGGTGGTGAAGCTGGGAGATCTTGGATTAGGCCGTTTTTTTAGTTCTAAAACCACTGCAGCACATTCCTTAGGTAAGATGGTACTTGCAGATGTGAAGTGATCGCTGCCCTACAGTTGTCAGCTGTGATGTTCGAAAGAGGTGGTGTCTGTCCTCTTGCCACGGCAGAAGCTTGATGCAGTGGATGCATACTGTATTTTCTGCGATATGTATTTTAAATACTCTTCAGATGAGATTAGTAGGTGTTTCTCCATTTGATACTTTTTTCTGGAAGGTATGATTTATATAAGCAAATGTGACAAGTGCAGCTTTTCCATGCTAAATAACATGTTTGCCTGCACTCTGCTCACTGGAATTAAATGTTGCACCACCGCCACTTCTAGCAGATGCTGGTCAGCCGTTGCACCCTGAACCAGGGGTTGTGACTGTCATTTGAGGTGAGGGAAGTGTTCAAACCTCAGGGTTCATCTGCTCCAAAAAGGGACTTCACTTGAAACTCAGCTTAGCCTTTAAAGATCCAAGTTTTCTTAATGTCTTCCACATAGCTCAAGGCTGTTTTCCTGCCCTTCTGTAAGTGCAGCTAGTTGTCCTGGCCGAAGCGCAGTACCTTTTACTCTTACTGAATTGTATCCCGCTTCCAGACTCTCCTTGTTGCGATCACTCTGACTTTTATTCTGTACTCTGCTGTGCTTTGCGTCATCCCACCTTCTTGTTATCCACAAAGGCGATAGCGTCGCCACGGTCCCCCCCATGTTAGTGCATGAGTTAAACAGATCTGTTGGCTGGCTTGCAGGACTTCCCTTGAAGTAGCCTTCTACTTTGACAGGGAACTGCTTTTTAGGCCAGTTTTGTATCCATTAAGTAGTTTCGTGTAGACAGGTTTCACTGTTTGCTTACAAGTTACATAGGCCTTTGATAAAAGTGTTAAAGTTGTAATACGTCTGTTGCTCCTGTTTCCCTCCCTCTGAAGCCTCGTAGCTTATAGTATAAAAAACTTATATCATTTGTCGTGATGATTTGTGGAACATGATGATGGTGATGAGTCGTTTCTTCTTCTTTTTGTCTGTGTTTTACAAGTAGTGTGTTTATACCCCCAGAACTTTTCTGGGAATTGAAAATAAGCTGACTGGTTTAGAGCTTCTGGGTTCCTCTCTGCTTCATTTTTACCATTAGCATTAATAGCAATGCCGTAGAGAAGTGTACAGGATATACAGTTTATTCTTTAAGTCTTACAGTATGAAGTATTTCATAAGTGTGTCTGTAACCTCTTGAGAGGTGGCTGATTTTCTGTTTTTGTTAGTGGGTCTAGTTTTTTGAGTCACAAAGGTAATTCTGTGTTACAGGAGTGAAGAAACTTTGGCTTTTAGTGCAGTAGTTAAGCTCTCTTACATTTAGCACTCAGTTGGTTTTGGAACAGATGACATTTGTTTCGCTGTTTGTGCAGTTTCCTCACTGAGTGTGAGTCTTGCTCAATTGTTTCTTACATGCGGACAAACTTAGTTGAGAACATCGCCAACAGCACTGGGGTGTCTCGGTGCACAGGAGAGGAAGATAGATGCCTTATTGTGTGTGTGCTTAAAAAAATAAACGAGGCATTTCTACAGTTTACTTTCAGAAAATACCAGATTTGCCTCTGCATCGAAAGCTATCCTAGGTTATATATGCACTATACTTAATAGATTAAAATAAATCCTCTTCACAGAAAGTTACAATCAAATCATTTGAACAGGGAAAAATATGATATGTCTAATTATATGATCTTATCTGGTTTGACTGCTGCACTTATTATATTAATAAGAATAAATTGGAGCTTGGAAACTGGCTGCACATGTGAGCCGAGCTTGTGACCTTTACCGGGGTTGCTGTCTCTTAATTGAGAAGGCTCATGTAGGAGGAGTTCAGCCTCTTCTGCAGGAGCCTTACCCTTCCTCAGATCAACAGCATCCTGGAAGCAGGGGAGTAAGGTGCAAAACGCTACAGGAGCAGCCGTGAGTGATGCTGGAGAGAGCGCGTTGTGTTGTGTGGCGGGAGGGATGGACACACCACCATTTCCAGCGGTTCGTGTATCCCAGTAAAAAGAACATTTTAACAACCAAAAAATATGCAGACCTGAAGCTTTTTTTTTTGGTAATTTGCCAGACATACAGGTTTTGTAGCAGCAGGAAATCGACTGATCTTGGTTTTGGTTTAATTAAGACATTTGTTTAAGTAGCTGCGAGTGATGAACACGCTGCAAACCGGCGCGTGGTACCCGCGGACCCAGGCTGCAATGCCGGGCACTTCCCGCAGCCACGTTGCCCCGGCAACCGCCCTGGACCGTCATCTCGCTGGCTGCTGACCCATGAATTGAACGGGCGGCTTATGCAAATATATTCATCTCATTTTTTCCCTTCCGTTGTGTTTGCTAGCATCAGACTGGCGTAAAAGGGCATTAGGCAGTACCGCGACCCGCCTGACAGGTGTACCACCGGGCTGCGGCAGCGCCGCCGCCGCCGCGTCAGGAATGGGAGCCGTAATTAGAGCAAGGAACAGAATGAACGTCAGATGAATTACCAGGCAGCAGATCATATTTGTCAGGAAGGATTGCATACATAAAAATTAAGTGACAGTACATGCCGGGGTAATGAAAGAAAAATGAAAGATTTGCCCGTACACAGCTCGTGAGATGCCAGCGAGTGCCTCGCTCGGAGCAGCGGCGGGGTGTCTGACCGGCGGCACGGCCCGTCGGGAGCAGCGGCGGGGCAGCGGGCGACCGGGAGGCAGGGAAAGCCCCGGCCCTGGAAAACCTCTGCGGGCAGACCTGCGAGAGGGGAAGCACGGACACCTCCTGTCTCACTCCATCACAAAACTGTGCTGGGAAAGGCGACGGTGTTGTGGGATGTGTGATAGACTGTAGAGACCATCCGGGGGCTGAAGGGGGTGCGTGAATTCACCCGGTGGCACCTCCTCTACCACTTTCCCTTTTCCCTGCATGACTCGGGAGAGAAGACAGGAGATACTTTTCTGTAGGGGAGAGCTCTTCATGCACAAGCTTTACCAGAAAACTCTAGTGTTTTAAAGGTAATGAGTGTAGCTAAGGTGAATTTTACTGCTGCTTGTTACAACATGGTGGTTTACCATCCCTCCTTCCCTAATTTAAGCTCCCTTGTAGCAGAAGCTCCATGATTTTGTTTAGTGGAGATGGACCTGCACATCACAGAAGCTTCATTTTACTGTGGGGCGTTGGAGGGAATGGGGGGGGGCAATTCAGCATGAAGTGAGAAGCAATGATTTTTCTTTTTTTCCTTATTTTCAGTACTGCTTACTATTTTCTTTGAAAACTTCTACAGCCTGTTCTTTTGCAGTTGATGCAAGCGTTTTACTACATCCATAGGCTTTTTTTTTCTTTCTTTTGTTTGTGTGGGATTTTTTCCCCCAGAGGAGCTGTACGATACATGTTGGACAGGCTGTTTCCCCACAGAAAATGACTGTCCTTAACACAGGGCCTTGCACCCAGTAGTGACGAAATGACATCCAGATGCCGGCGTTCGGGCACGTGGCACCACGCAGTTGATTTTATAGTGCTGGGGTGTGATGTGCTTCCAGGTGTCGTCTCTTCCATTCAGGATTTAATAGGCCTAGGAGTATTTATTTGTCTTTGCTGTTTGGTTGTGGCCATTATTTATTTTGTTCATCTCTGAGGTGGCATCCAGAGGAGTATACGCTTGTTAGAAAGTTTGTCATTAACTTTGCTCTAAAACCTAATTAGTTATAAGACAAAAATGATAAATAGCAGAGCATATTTAAGAACTGCATAGACTCCGGAAAACTTAACAGTAAGCTGGCAGATTTGGTCTGACTAGGAGCTGTAATAAATATAGAGAATTTTCATTAGTATTAAAATGGATAACGTTATTGTGAACTGGTATAATGTCCATTTTTAGCCAAATAAACAGGGCATTATCCAAAGCCTCTGATTGGCTTTACATTTTGAAGAGAAAGTAGAAAAGAAAAGAAAAAAACAAACCCAAACCAAACAAAAAAACAATTTTACACAGAATAGTCCTGTTCTGGAGCAGATGATTTATTATTTATTCTTGGACAAGAATAAACTTGGAGCAGATTTTCCTTTTGGGGGATGCATATAAGTCAAAGCTTCCTGGTTTAGAACATGCAAATAGTGGTGGATTGGAGTACGTGGGGTGTTACACGTTCCTTCTGGTGTCTTGTTGGGTATGAGGACAAACAGGGAGTAACTGCGATCACGAGAAGAGCTCTCTTATAAATGGACTGTTTGTCCTTTTTTTTTTCTTCTGCTTGCCAAGCCAGTTTGTCATCCGAAACAAAATCACAGTACTTCAGGGGGGTGGTAAGCAGTACTTGTTCAGAAAAAATGGACACAAGAAATGGGCTTAAAATTTCAACAGCCAGTGCTCTGTGCATTTTGAGAGATTTTGGCCTTTTGCCCTGTGCCTGTACTACAGTATTTGTGGAAGAAGATTGCTGCAGAATTACTGCAGGTATATTGTACTACCTATGTGTTAAAAAAAAAAAAAACAAACCCAAAAAACCAAAAAAAAACAAAAACAAAAAAATAAAATCCCAAAACAACAACAAATTCGAGAACGTAGAAGGACTTCAGTAGGGTTGTGTATGTAATTAAATGCTAATAAGACAAATGGAGAGCTTAGAGCAACAGGTCTTGTAAGACAGCTGCAATATTATGCACAAAATACTTATTTTATAAGAATAAGTAATTAAATCTTTTTTTTTCCTCCCCCTTGAAACAATTGGTGGGGATACCTCAGCCTGAGATTTGAAGGAATTTAAAGTATAGTTTAGTGCCTTTGACCACTGTTGCACTTCATCTGATTCCTCAAAGTTGAGCTAATTCCCAAATTCTGCTTCTGGGAAAAGACCTCAGCTTTCTTGTTGGAAATGTAGACACTGCTCCTAGCAGATCCTTAGGAACTAGATTCCTTTTAAACGATGCGGTAAATGTTTCTTGAAAATCTACAGGCATGTCTGGACAGACGAGACAGGTGAGAGTTGTGGACTTGCATTTCGAAGTAAATCGCTTCCCTGCTGTATTTG